GGGGTTGGGGGGGGCTGATGGGGTAGGGGCCCCTGCACTGGACATCGCAAACCTCACAGCCCACCCAGAAGCAGTGGTTGCAAGCAGCTGGGTACGCATTGGCTGGGATTTTGTGAGCCGAATAAACTCATCTTGTGCTCTCTCCTGGGCCGTGTGTATACCTCAAGGACGTGCACCGACCCCTCAATCCACCCGCCCCCAAAACTCCCCTTGCCCGGCCACTGGCGCCGCCAACGCAGGCGCCGGCACCGAGTACGTGGCCTGGCTGGCCGCCGCGCGCCGCGCGCTGGTGGTCGGCACCGAGAACTTCATAGCGCGCGACGTGGACAGCTTCGGCGAGCTGCTGGACCCGGCGCGGCTGCTGCCGCTGCTGGGGCAGGTGGACGTGCTGGAGCTGCTGGGACAGCATCACGGCAGGTGGGGGCACGTGTGTGTGTGTGTGTGTGTGTGTGTATGTGTGCGTGTGCGCGCATGTTTGTTTGCGCACGCTCGTACGTGTGTGTGTACATGTCTATCATGTGGGGTGAGAGGCGTGTGTGTGCGTGCGTGCTTGTGTGTGTGCGCGTGCGCGTGCACGTGCGTGCGTGTGTGTGCACGCGCGCGTGCGCATGTGCCCATGTGCGTGTGTGTGTGTGTATGTGTGTGTGTGTGTGTTTCAGTGGTTTATGACAGCACAACAAGCCAAGCAGGGTCAGTGGGTCGTCCCTAAAAAACGGCTTCTCTTTTGACCCATGCGGCATGCCGCTGCGTCATCATTTGTCCAAGCTGGGTGTTGTTGCCGCCTGCCCTCGGTGCCGCAGGCTGGTGCGGCGTTTCAGGGACCCTCGGATATGCGCCCTCCTGTCATTCCAGGACCTCTACGTGAGCCGGACTGCTTTCGGACTGCCTCTGGACAGTAATTGAACTGCCTTTGGATGGTTGTTGTCGCGCCACTGCTGCGAGGCACCCCACAGGCCTGCTGATGCGCACTGGATTTGCATCGCAAGATCGCCGCGCTGCCGATCCCTTTGCCCGCACAAGGGTCGCGCGTGCCGCTGTGCATGCACGGTGACATCACCGCGCGCTGCCCCATCCTGCCGCATTTTCGCATCCCATGACAGGTGGGGTTGTCGCCCTACAACGCCCCGGGGGTCTTCAGCCTGCTGGCCGCCACAGAGCTAACTGACGGCGTCTTCTACCCTGTAGGCGGTTTCGAAAAGGTGCGCGGGCGGGCATGGCTGCCCCTGGCCCCCCGCATCCCCAGGAGGCCCTTCCCGCTGGTTGGTGCAGTCTGACCTGGACCGCCATCCCGCCTGCTGCGAATCGCTAATACCGCCCCATGTGCTCCTGGGATGGTGCCTATTTTGCCATTAGCCTCCACTGCTGCAACGCTTGTGCTGATGTGTGCTGCGCACTGCTGTCTTGTGCTTTGTCAGGTGCGCAACAGCCTGCTGAGCATAGCACAGTCGCACGGCGCCCAGCTGCGCACGGGCGCGCGCGTCCAGCGCATTCTTGTGGATGAGGGCAGCAACGGCAGCAGCAGCAGCAGCAGCAGCAGCGGCAGCAGCAACGGCGGCAGCAGCAGCAGCGGCGGTGGCAGCAGCGGCGGCAGTGGCAGGGTGACGGGCGTGGAGCTGGAGGGAGGCGAGCGGCTGTTTGCGGATGCAGTCGTGACGAATGTGGACGTGGCGGCGTCGTTGGGGCTGGTGGCGCCGGCGGAGGGCGCGCCTGAGGGGCCGGGACACAAGCATGCGCGGCAGCGGCGGCGGCGCCTGGAGGATGCTGAGTACAGGTGCCTGGCAGCTTCGCTTTGGCTTCTATGTGCATTTGCTTCCATGTGCATTGGCTCCTTGTAGAGCATGTGCATTCGTGCGTGCGTGTGCATATGTGTGTAGGTGTGCGTGCATGCGTGTTTCATGAAAATGCCGATGCCTCATATCTAAAAATGGCGTGCCCTTCAAGCACTCAGCAATACGCTCTACTTCCGCCCCGCAACTCTTGTCAAGGGGCCTGCATACCCCAAGCCAACCTCTTCCCGCTCCCCCACTACAGCTGCTCCGCCCTCCCGGCCCCCCTCCCCGACCGCAACCCCCGTGCAGCGCGGGCGTCATCTCCTTCAACTGGGCTGTCAAGGATTACGCCCCACTCAACGCCCTGCTGCACCACAACGTCTTCATGTCCGGCGACAGCCGCGCCAGCTGGCGCCGCGCCCGGTCGCCTGCCGAGCTCGCCACCCACCCAAACTTCTACGTCCACTGCCCCTCCCGCTCCGACCCGTCCGCCGCACCGCCCGGCTGCCACAGCGTCATGGTGCTGCTGCCAATTGCCAACGAGCAGGAGCGGGGCGGGTCAGACGGCGGCGGCGGCGGCTACGGCCCGTTGGTCGACGCCGGCCGCGCCGCCGTGCTGCGCACGCTGCGCGACGCGGGGGTGGCCGACGGCGGGCTCGAGGCCGCGATCGTGCATGAGACGGTCATTGACCCCCCAGAGTGGCGGCGGCGCTACGGGCTGACCCATGGCGCCGCGTTTGGCCTGTCTCACGGCCTGAACCAGCTGTCGCTGCTGCGGCCGGGCCCGGAGGACCCGCGGCTGCCGGGGCTGTACTTTGTGGGCGCGAGCGCGCGGCCGGGCAACGGGGTGCCGTTGGTGATGATGGGGGCGGACCAATGCGTGGGGCGAGTGCTGCGGGGCCTCGGCGTCGCCGCCGCGCGCGCGTGACGGGGTCGAGCGCCCCAGCACATCTGCGTGTGTCTGTCCCTGCCTGCAGCACTGTCGAGCTGGGCCGGAGGGACAGTCTCCTCGCACACAGCAGGCCAGGCCCGGAAGTTGGGCCGACTCTGTAACTCCGACAAGCGTTTTGGTTGAGAATTTACAGGGGTGGTGGTGCTGATACTATAATTGCCGACAAAACTTGGTGAAAAAGCCAAGGGATCAGCAGCAGCCTCATACAACAAGACAAGGGATTGTGTCAAGAGGCACAAGCCAACAAGGGGCCTTGTGCGCAAGCCGTGGGGGAGGGAGAGTAGACGTACACAGGACAGATACGTGTCAGCAGCACAAAACGGCGATTGCCTGGTTGCGAAGACTGGCCTGCCCGGCCGGGGGCGGAAGAAGATGCCTGCCCCTACAGCAGCGCCGCCGCGCGCGCGTACGATGTGCGCGTGTGCGTGGGTGGGTGTCGAGAGCGGCATCGCTGATCGAGAGGGGTGCTGCGGCGTTGCTCCGTGAGGCCCGCGCGAACAGACGTGCTCTCCGCCTCAAAGCGCAGGCGGCGCTGGAGGCATGAGAGGTTACACAGCTCACGGCCGAGGGGCACCGCGGATGCAGCAGAGCGGGGCTCTGCTGAGTTGGGAGGTGAGGTTTAGGTAGGGCGGCTGCGTAAATCGCCCACATGCGGGGTCTTTCGCTGCGTGGCGCCTGGCGGAATGGCTTCGATGGGGCCCTCAAAAGTGAGAGACTGCTGGCGAGCGCTTGCGCCAGGCAGCACGCCCCGGATTGCTGCGCATGCGCAGCGGCGCTCAACACCCAGGCGCGGCAGCCTGGCGCAAAGGGGCAGGCGGAAAGGCAGCCGGGCGGCGCAGTTCGATGCACCCCGTGCACGAAGGAAGAGAGACGGCGGCGCGCGTCGCCGCGCGCCGCGGTGTCCCTGTGGCAGGCGCGCGTGCGTCTCAGACGGAGTAGCCAAGCATCATGCCCTGGCTGCTCATAAGCTCCGAGTAGGGGCCGCTGGCTGCCAGCAGCTCCTCGTGGGTGCCGCGCTCCGCGATCTGGCCTGCGGGGGCGTAGGGGGTTGGGGTGAGGGGTGGGCTTGTTGAGTGTACAATGGGTTGGTGGGGATGAGAGGGAGGGGGGTCAACGACTGGTGGGGACACACATACACACACACACACACACACGCGCACATCCAGTACAATCAACAACACACACATGTAAGCGCCCAAACGGCCACGCAGAAGCACGCGGCCCCACCCTAAGCTCACGTGTACGTGCACCCACAGACACGCGAGCACACATGCACACAGACACCCACCCACACCACACAGCCACCCACCGTTGGCCATGACCACGATCTGGTCCGCCGCCTGCACCGTGCTGAGCCGGTGGGCGATGACCAGCACGGTGCGCCCCGCCACCAGCCGCTGGATGGCCTCCTGCACCAGCTTCTCGCTGACCTGTCGTGGTGATGTCATAGTGACATCAGGTGGATGCTTTGTTTCGGGCGGTTTCGACAAGGGCTTGGGGAGGGGTCACTGGACAGCTCGCACAGACCATACAGGAAAATACTGATAGCCATGTGATGTTGAGAATGCAGTTGAGCCGAGTAAGCACTGCCTTGGGGTCAGGGGCGGGCAGACTAGTGCCAGCCGCAGGAGAGAGGGGGGTGGTGAGGTGGCGCCACCACCGCGCCAGCCCGGCGCACGGACTTTCTCTACGGTGCGGCCCTCACCGCGTCGAGGGCTGAGGTGGCTTCGTCCAGGATGATGACCTGTTTATTTTTGGAGTGCGGGTTGTGAAGGTCAGGAGGTGGTGATGGTGATGGTGAGATCATCAGATGATGTTAGGGGAGAGGTCGTCAAGAGGCGTTGGTGGTGGTTGGGTGGACGCATGGGGGTCACGAGACGGGGGGATGAGAGGGGAGAGCGTGATCATGGGCGAAGCCCAGAGGGCAACCAAGGTCAGCGAAGGGCCCGATGACCGACGTCCTGGGGGTCTCACCGGCGAGTCCTTCAGCAGGGCCCGCGCGATGGCGATGCGCTGCCGCTGGCCGCCTGGGCGACGGGGCGGGGCGGGAGAGAGCAGGGGCAGCGGACGCAAGGGGGGCGGCATCAGCAGGGGTGCGACCAGCGCGACCGACGGGGTGAGAGGGGCACACGGAGCGCGACCGACGGGGTGAAAGGGGTGCGCGGTCGAGCACGCGGCTCTGGCCGGCCCTTGAGGACGCAATGACCACCCCAGGGGTCAATGCCGCCGCCACCTGGAACCCACCAGCTGCACCAAGCGGCCCGTGCCGACTGCACCAGAGGCCCATGCAACACGGCCGATGACCCCGTGGGGCCCATGCAAGACCGCCCACCGCACCAGGGGCGCTCCGCGCGCGCCCCCTGCCCCACCCCCCTTGGACGCCCACCCGACAGCAGCGTGCCCCTCTCCCCGACGACGGTCTTGTAGCCGTCTGGCAGCCGCTTGATGAATTCGTGCGCGTTGGCGGCCTCGGCGGCCGCCTGGATCTCCTCCAGGGAGCAGCGGCCGAAGCGGCCGTAAGATATGTTGTCAGCGATGGTGCCGCTGAACAGAACGGGCTCCTGGGGGTGGGGTGGAATGGGTGCGCGGTGGTTGGTCGGGGTGGTTACTTGGGATGATCGATCGGGGTTGTTGTGGAGGTGGTTGGTAGAGGTGGTTGGTCGATGCTATTATTGCTGGGGGCCGGGGTGTTCGTGCGAGGGTGCGGAGATTGGCTGGTGTGGTGTACGAGTGTTGATGGGGCGTGGATATTGGGTTGAATTAACCGCTGCAACACCTGGCCAAGCTTGGACATCTTTCACCAGACCCCCTGGCGTCTGGCAACTTCCAGCGGTGCACATCGGCACACACACGCACGCACAAACCGATAAACGCCGAAAAGCACACATGCAAGCGCTTGCTCAAGCATGCTTTGTTCGTTCGTGCCCGCCCGCCGGCAGGCTCCCAAAGCGTACTCACCTGCGACACCATGGCGATGGCGCGCGCCCACTCCCCACGCGTGAAGCTGCCCGCCTCAGCCTCCCCCAGCAAGATTGCGCCCCGCTGCGGCGAGTAGAAGCGCGAGAGCAGCGCAGCCACCGTGGACTTGCCGGCGCCGCTGCGGCCGACGAGGGCCGTCACAGTGCCGCGCCGGAGGGTCAGGTTGACGTCAGACAGCACTGCAGGGGGCGGGGCACGGGTCATGGGGTCAGCTGCGGTTTCGGGGTGGTTCTGGCCGTCGTGGAGGGGCCGGCGCGTGTGTTTTGATGGCAGCGGGCACGTGTGTTGCGGCCGGGCGGTGCCAGGTGGGTGGCTGGGGGATGCCGGCGGGCCCGGCGGAGCAGCACGGCACTGAGCCCCTGGCGGCCGCGGCCCCTGTCGTGCTGAAGCGTTCTACTGCACTGCCTGGGGCCCTCGCCCCTCCCCAACCCCCTGACACGGGCCCTCGGCGCACGAGGTGCAAGCACTCCTCTGCACCCGGCCACACAACCGTCACCGACACGAACGACGGCAACAATCTGGCTCACCGGGCAGGTCAGCGCGCAGCGGGTACGAGAACCAGACATTCCGCAGCTCCAGGTCACCGCCCTTGGCAGCCACCACGGCCGCGTCGCCCGCCTTGTCTGCTCAAATTCCGGTCGAGTGTGCGTGCGGGTGCGCGGTTACGGCAGAGGCGGGTGCAGGGCCGGGCAGCCGGCATCACCGCTGTGGACTGCAGCGATGGCCACAAAAACATGCATCTGACGCCAGGCGGGCTGCGGACGCACCAAAGCTGCACGGAAATGACACAAAGCGCCCTCAATTCCTGCTCCAGCCGGCCCGTGGTACCCACCGTACACACACTGGCAATTTGTGCCCTCTCTGCCCCTCGCTCGTGTGCACACGTGGTCCCAGCGACACAAGCGTTCGCACACACGCACACATACAGAACCACACACACCTGCATAGGGCTCCACCACAGGCTGCGCGCCGTTGGCCACCTCCCACCAGGCGCCAGGCGGCAGGGCGCCGTACATCGAGGGGTCTGGGTCGCTGGTCTGGACGAGGCTGCGCACCTGGGGGGGTGGGGGCGGGGGGTGGGGTGACCGGGTCGCATGATGAGAGGTGGGATGATAGGGGAGGCGTGCGGGGTTGTGGTTGCGTGGGCGAGCGTGGTGTATGACGGTATGTGTTGTATGGGTTAATCGTTTGCACATGTGTGTGCGTGTGTGTGTGATGTGCAGATTAGTAGTGTACTTGTGGTTTTCGCAGGCGCATGTCGCACGTGTCTTTGATTGGCCTCGCACGCTTGCACGACAGTGAGCAACCAATCACTCCCGCAACGGAGGAAGGACCCAGGTGCACCACCAGGCCGGGGGCGAGGGTGCCGTCTGGGCGCGCGTTGGAGGGGAAGCGGGCAGCCCCCTGCAAGCGTGCCCAGGGGGCCGTGCGCGAGCGCCCACCCGGTCGAACGCGCCCGATGCGCGCCGCAGGTCTGAGAGCGTGTTGACGGCACCCTGCAAATAGTTGAGTGGGGCCAGTTTGCACAGGAGGAGGTTTATGGCCTGGGGTTCCGCGCGTGTGGTGGCACGGCGCCACGATTGGACGCGCGCGCACGGCCCCTTGAGACAGCACGCTTTACTGAGGCTGACGTGCCAACTCTGCCCCATCCATCATAGCAAGGTCCCCAAAGCAGCAGCACACTAGGCTCTCCTGCACTGCCCAGCAAGAGGCAAAGGCTGTACGGCTTCCAGGGTGCCAAACCACATATATTCAGACACGCGTACGCGCTCACACACACACACACACACACACACACACTCACACATGTGACAGCGAGCAGCACCCACCTGTGTAGCGTACATCAAAGAAAAAGTGAAGCCAATGCCGCTGATCAGGACAGATATCGGCATCAGCCCCTGCAGCAGGTGGCGGGCAGCGAATGCGCGCGAGTGCGCGGGCGAGCAATGGATGGGAGGTGAGGGGGCAGGGCTGGATGGACGTGATTGACTGGAGGCGCCGCCCGCGTGCGCCCTCGCTTCCAGCTGCCCCGAGGCGCTCCGGGGAGCACCCGAGCACGCGTGCCTCGGCCGCAGCCCTGCAAGGCCTGCCAACGCGGGCGATGGCCAACCCCTGTTTCCCTGACACGCGGGCACGTGCACACTTTCCTGCCAAGAAGCCTTGCTGCTTCGCCGCGATACACAGTTGAAAGTTGCCTGCCACGCCCCCAGGATCGCCCAGCCCCGCCCCGCCCCCACCTGCGACACGAGGTACCCGCCCCAGGAGTACAGCATGAGCAGGCTCGCGTGGATGGCCGCCCGATTGGTCGCCTCGAAGTTGGCCTTTGCTGCCCCGAAGTCGCGGCCGGCGGCGTAGCTGGCGGCGACCTGCGGCGCGGGACAACACACAGAAGAGAGGGTCGGGGGGAGCCGTGTCGACTAGGCCTCAAGACCTCACAGGTGTTGTCCAC